GTGTGTACTCACCTAATTGTGCTTGCGGGGGTTGAGCTTTGGCTCTTTGGTCCCGCCTAACTAACTTTGGTCCTGTGTGTGTGTGGTGTGTGTGTGTGTGTGCGTTATCTTGAGATGATTTCGGGGCTTTTTAGTGTCCCCGCGGCCCGTTCCTCGACCAGACCTTCACCCCCAGGAAGCAGCCCGTGACAGCTGACTAACTCCCAGGTACCTATTTACTGCTAGGTAACAGGGGCATTCAGGTGAAAGAACTTTGCCCATTTGTTTCCCGCCTCGTGCGGGAATCGAACCCGCGCCACAGAATTACGAGTCCTGCGCGCTATCCACCAGGCTACGAGGCACCAGGCTGCGTGTGTGTGTGTGTGTGAAGGGTGCTTCCTTACTAGGACAACGCTATGGGGTCGTAGTCCTAAGGGCTCGGGTTCGATCCCCGGCAAAAACAGAAAAAATAGGCAGAGTTTCCTTCACCCTGGTGTCCCTGTTTACCAGTCACTAAATACGTACCTGGGAGTTAGACAGCTGCTACGGGCTGCTTCCTGGGGATGTGTGTATGTGTGCGTGCATGTGTAAGAGAAATATATGTAGTAGACGTAATAGAGAAAAAATAAATTGGTTAGACAGGCGGGGTCCAAGAGCTAATAGCTCGATTCTGCAGACACAAATAATAAATACATAGACGTTAGAGGAGACATGATCACTACCTATAAAATTCTCAGAGGGCTTGATAGGGTAGATAAGGATAAACTGTTTAATACTGGTGGTACGCGAACAAGGGGACACAGGTGGAAACTGAGTACCCAAATGAGCCACAGAGACGTTAGAAAGACATTTTTCTGTGCATATCAGGAATCTGTACACCAGTTGATTGACAGTTGAGAGGCGGGACCAAAGAGCCAGAGCTCAACCGCCGCAAGCACAACTAGGTGAGTACACACCCACATATAGGTATGTACCTATCTTAATAAAAACATTTATAACAAGTTTAAACGAGTCCCAGTATCTGTGCCCATGACATAGACCTTATAAACGAGTACCAGTATGTGCCCATGACATAGACCTAATAAACGAGTACCAGTATCTGTGCCCATGACATAGACCTTATAAACGAGTACCAGTATGTGCCCATGACATAGACCTAATAAACGAGTACCAGTATCTGTGCCCATGACATAGACCTTATAAACGAGTACCAGTATGTGCCCATGACATAGACCTTATAAACGAGTCCCAGTATCTGTGCCCATGACATAGACCTTATATATGTGTCAGGTGGAGGTGCGGGGAAGACTGGCAGTTCACACACACGAGGAAGACAGATACTCACTGGGAAAGCGAGGAACATCCTCATTCGCACTGCTGAATTATCGTCCCAAGATCGACAGTACAGATCCTCGGTTGTTTCCTCCTACGCGATACTGTTCCCGCACGATTCAGATTTTCAGCCACTACTTATCAGCGAGTGTTGCGAGGTATGTAGAGATAATAAGCATAGAGGAGTGTTTCAGTGACAACTGGCGGGGAGGAAGTGTGACTTGCGGGGTGGTCGAGATGGAGAGACTGCCTGAGGTATGGCGCGTGTCGGGGTGGGCAGTGGGAGAGTGCCTGTGCTCTTGACGGAGGTATGGGAGACTCAAGGTGTTGGAGAGTGAAGCTGCCGCCGCCACCTTCCTTTCTCTCCAGAGCACTCCACGCTGCACTACAAGGTCACGCGGGGGCACAGCTCGCGTGGGCGCTCAAACACTCTGCTTCCTCTTGCTCTTTGGGCGACGGACATCGGGAAGAACCTTGACACTCGCAAACTGAAAAAAATATTATTTTCTTATCATTTTTTGTTACTATCATTTACGATTTATGACAATTATCATCAGTAAGACGTGACTCCAGGCCTAGCCCTAAGAGGAGGTGGTAATGGGACATTCCTGGGGCGGCGGCGTGTCCTTCCAGGCGGGTATAGAGCGGCCAGCAGCCGCCCCCTTGTCCCCGGCCTCTGGTATTTCCTCTTCCTCACCACCCACCACCACCATCACTTGCTGGTCACTCCCAATACTTACGCTCTCCACCTGCACTGTATTGGGAAATAAATCATTTATCATTCCTCAACATGTATATTTATTTTACATTTACATCTATATATCAATTATTTATATATATAAAATAGAAAGTCTGGGTATCCGTCCGAGGCTGGAGGCAGACGCTTAGGGCTAGGCTTATAAAAATGTGTACAGTAATTGCTGTGGGTAGAGAGAGCAGTGGGTCGGCAGAGGTAGCACGAGGGCTAAGGGAGGGTTCAAGAGAAGAGAAAGAGCGAGAGAGAGAGAGAGAGAGAGAGAGAGAGAGAGAGAGAGAGAGAGAGAGAGAGAGAGGAGAGAGAAGAGAAGAGAGAGAGAGAGAGAGAGAGAGAGAGAGAAGAGGAGAGAGAGAGAGTGGAGAGGTGGAGGGAGGGAGAGAAGAGAGAGAGAGAGGGGGTGAGGAGAGAGAGAAAGAGAGAGAGAGAGAGAGGGGTGAGAGGAGAGAGAGAGAGAGAGAGAGAGAGAGAGAGAGAGAGAGAGAGAGAGAGAGAGAGAGAGAGAGAGAGAGAGAGAGAGAGAGAGAGAGAGAGAGAGAGAGAGAGAGAGAGAGAGAGAGAGAGAGAGAGAGAGACAGAGAGAGAGACAGAGAGAGGGAGACTCGTAGCTCCCAAGAGGGGAGACATGATAACCACCTAGAAAATTATCAGGGGAATTGACAGGGTGGACAATGACAAACTTTTTAGCACGTGTGGAACACGAACAAGGGGACACAGGTGGAAACGTAATACCCAAATGAGCCACAGAGACACTAGAAAGAATTGTTTCAGTGTTAGAGTAGTTAACAACTAGAATACATTAGGCAGTGATGTGGTGGAGGCTGACTCCATACACATTTTCAAATGTAGATTTGATAGAGCCCAGTAGGCTCCAAAATCTGTACACAAGTTGATTGACAGTTGAAAGGCGGGACCAAAGAGCCCGAGCTCAATCCCCGCAAGCACAACTAAGTGAGTACAAACAGGCAGACATTTTATCCTATAGTATAGCTATATATTATATGTCTGTCCAAAGTTGCAGGCCAGATACTTGGGGTTAGCCTCACCCAAATATGCAGGGGGAATAGTCTGGGTTACGGGATGGACATAGGTGGTCAGGGTGTGCTTAAGTCAAATGCTTTAAGAAATATTAGCAGTTATAGACATCCCCCCCAGACGATTTTCAAGGAGTCAAGTGTGAAATATATGGTGTGATTCCCATTGAGTTTTTAGTGGACGCAATAATATATTTTCTGGTAGATCCATACAGTTGTTTCGATGCCTCTTAATAATACATTTTATAATAGAAGGAAGAGAGGTGGGAAGCAATGGGGGACTGGAAGAGGGGAGGGATAAAAAGAGGAAAATAAAAGAAAAGAAAAAGAGAGAAGAAAAAGAAACAAAAAAATATTTGAAAGGAGGAAAAAGAAGACATTTGACAGAAGGAAAACAGAGAAAAAAAGGAAATTGGAAAAGGGAAAAAAAAAGAGACAAAAGAAAAGTAAATCTGAGAGCCTCAAAGAGTTGTTTGGTGCTCATCAATAATACAATTTCTGAGAGAAGGGGGAGGGGGAGGAGATAAGGAGATAAGAGGGGGGTAGAGACCCGGGTGCAGCCGGGTAACCTTTCTATTTATATCAATAAGAGAGAGTGTATGTCTGGCTGTTCAAGAGTAGAGACCAGATGGTCATGGCTAGCCTCACTTAAATGTGCAAGGGAGCGGGGATGGTCTGGGGAATGACAAGGACATGGCTGGTCGGGTTACCAGAGTACAAGAGGGAACAGCAGGCCAGGGCGTCTCATTCTGTCTCCCACGACAATTTTGGGTTCTGTCTGCCGGCTACACCTAGCTAAATATACTGAAAACTAAAATTTCAAAATACATTTTTTCTTTTTGAAATATACTCCATTATTCACCGATCTCTGGAAAATTTACTTACATTTTCTGTTGTTCGTACTTTGTCCGTAGCACTATAAACAGACGATCCTCCTACAGCTTCAAAGGCTTTCTCAAGCCTCACCTCATTCTCAAAGCAAACGGGTAACTATTATGTTTGTTTAATATTTGGCACAGCGCACTTGTAATATTTTCCCACTGGTAGACCACCCATACGTTAATTCTAGACTATTATGCCATCTATATAAGAGAGAGTCAGCGAAAATATAGGCAGGCAGTTAGAGACATAATGAGACATAGGCAGAGACAGACAGGCGGAGATTCGAAATGGAAATAACAATTGAGCAGAGGAGTTGCAGAATCTGTGGTGAGAATGACGGGCACCGCCTAGACTACTATCTACGAGACTGCGGACATCTGAGAGACATTAGAAATATGTGTAGAATAATAAACCCCATATTGTTTGAGTTGGGAGAATACCATTTGTCAAATATAGATACTGTTATTAAAAGATTCCCCCATTTTGCATCCGTAAGATGATGTAAGATTTTAAGGGTTGACGAATGTTAATCTTCTTGTTTGAGAAGTTGTTCACTTGAGACAGTTAAGCAAGTCCCAGCTGTGTCTGGGTACAAGTGACAGAATGAACAACCCAGTGAGCTTTTTTCCTATTAGGAAGTGTTGTACATGCTACTATGGCGGTGTGTCCACTCACAGGATGAGTGGCGCTGCCCAATATTGTCACTATGGCGGTGTATCCACTCACAGGATGAGTGGCGCTGCCCAATAAACTCACCCCTCGGGGCAAAATTTAAAAATTTAAAGTTTTCAAAAGTCAAGTACTAATTTTTCTTAATTACTTCTGGGTGATCAGGGGCGAACAGCTAAAGATCGGTTCCCAACCATTCCTCTCGGCCCAGGGCTTGAATCCTGACCTATATCTCTAGCGAGGCAAGCTGAAAATACGGACAAATGACCAGTACTGACCGAGGAGGAGCAGTGGTCGGGGAGCGTTCCCCAGAGCGTCAGACACCACACGTCTGGCACCGACCACACCGCACAACACACTGACGGCCTCCTGCTGTGGCTCCCTGCAACCTACAGTAAAAGTGATCTCTCTCCCAAACTGTTCTCACAATTTGACAAGCGTAGAATTTGAAGTGGTTTTGCTCACAATCACTCTAACCTAGACTATCCGCCTAACCTGTCCATGCCGATGATCATTAGTCCGAGGAAGCTTCAGTATTACCATGCTCTTAATTTCACTGAATTACTCGTATTTTGATTCTGTAGCGATAACGTTAAATTTGCAAGGTATTAATCGTGAGGACAGGTTGCTGCTTCTCCTGTTACTATCTTGGTTTCTCCATCGCCTAGCATAATAACCGGAGGAAAGAGGAGACATGATCATGACATACATGATAAAGAGAGACAAACGAAACAAGGTCAAACCGTCTCAGATGAGAAGTAGGAGTGCAAGATACACAGGAAAGTCGAGAACACAACAAAAAGCCAGAGGGCTGTAAGTCGCTCCTTCAGTGGTAGAGTCGTGAACACGTGGAACGAACTGAAGGATATATACTTTATGATAGTCAAATCAAGCATAGATTTGAGACCTAGACAATTTTCTAGTGCAATAGACTGCCAATTGTCAATACATGAGGCTGTGTGTATAATAAATCACTGAGTCTCAATAGTTGAGGCTGTGTAAATTATAGCAAACCAGGTTCCATACACTAGGCTGTGTAAATAATAGACTAACTAAGCTCCATACACGAGGCTCTGTAAATAATTAACAGACCAATGAGGCACCATACATGGGGCTGTATAAATAATAAACCACCGAGGAACCATACACAAGGCTGTGTAAATAATAGACCACTGAGGCACCATATACAATTAAATCTGTGTAAATAATTGACCACAGAGGCACCATACACAAGGCTGTAAACATAATAAAACACCGTCGAGGCACCATACATGGGGCTGTGTAAATAATATCCCAGTCAAGGCACTATATATGGGGCTGTGTAAATAATAGACCAACGAGGCACTATACATGAGGCTGTGTGTAAATAACAGATCACCGAGGCTGTGTAGATAATAAATCATACAGGCACCATACATGGGGCTGTGTGAATAGACCACCGAGGCACCATAACATAGGGCTGTGTGAATAATAGACCACCAAGGCACCATACAAAGGGCTGTGTAAGTAATAAGCCATAGAGGCATGATACATGGGGCTGTGTAAATAATAGACCACCCAGGTTTCATACATGGGGTTGTGTAAAATAATAGGCCATCGAGGCTCCATATACCAGGGTGTTTAATAAATAATAGACCCTTGAGGTCTATTATTTAAAAAAAAATGAGTATTTTTAAAAACAAAATAATAGACACTACGCTAGGCTATGGGAACAATACACTAGTGAAACAAGACAGGAGGATGTGGTAACAACAGAAGGGCAAGGCTCTGAACGGTAGAGGCAAACATGTACTTAGGTACATGTTGCTTAGGCGTTCATGCTGCTCCCTGAATTGTATGAAGGGTTACAGAGGTTTATATGTTCAGAGCTGTCTAAGATATACAAAGATCACTCATCTCGCGAGATGATTTTAAAGGGTTATGAGGACATCTTAAAGCATACACTCGATCGAGAGGACAAATTTGCGGACCTCCTGGTAACTCACACGGGATGGTGTAAAATGTATAATAGTTGAAAATTCGGTAATATAATGAAGAAAGGTCTGACCCAGTTCCTCTTGACGAGATGAAGTTTAACGGTTGGGAGGCTCCGTACCGTAGTGTGACGGCGCAACACCGTATTCACAAAAACAAGTCTATTCGATTTGTATTTTCCAAGACAGATGCATTTGTGGTAGTCATGACCGTTGAACAAGTGAATGCAGAATCTTTTAAAGGGTTTGCTAAACCATCACTCCGAGCAAACAGGAAGAAATACTTCTCTTAGAGACAAATCCTCTCACGTGTTGAAGCCGGTGAAGCAAGGCACGCGCTGTTACACAACACCACAGGAAGAACTCATCAGCGAGATGCGTGGGACCCTTCACTTTCCGCAGCAATTTGCCCTCCAAGGCCACTAGATATGTTGGTCACCAGGTACACAGAATATGTTGGTCACCAGGTACACAGAATATGTTGGTCACCAGGTACACAGAATATGTTGGTCACCAGGTACACAGAATATGTTGGTCACCAGGTACACAGAATATGTTGGTCACCAGGTACACAGAATATGTTGGTCACCAGGTACACAGAATATGTTGGTCACCAGGTACACTAGACATGTTTGTCACCAGGTACACAGAATATGTTGGTTACCAGGTACACTAGAAGTGTTGGTACTAAAGTCACTGAACATGTTAGTTACCAGTAACTACCCACACAGTTCGACTATCCACGTGCGTGTAGCCTACACTAGCTAGGTTTGGTGTCGGGTTTAGGTTCAATCAACCGCGGGAGAGTTAATATTAAGGGCACCACAATAGCTAACTGACTATCAGGTAACCTGAACCTGGCTGACTACAATGAGTAAGCATACATTGTCCAGGACTTAAACTAACTCTGAGTATATATACACGTAGAAGCGAGGAACACACCTCTCTGTGTACACATTCTCTATGTGGTAAGCAGTTGATGATGCCGCAATGTTTACCGCTGTTTTGCCCTTACAGTCAACTCCGTTACCTATATATTATGAAGCAAAATCACTACCATTATGTCGATGGAAGCAACAGGAACATTTGGAGGAATCATTTGGAGGAACTTTATTTTTTCCTAACAAATTTTGTTATTTTTCCATGACGTGAAATATACTTGGCTAACAGACACGAAAATTACAAGATCCTCTGCAATACAAAACAATTCACCAATTACAGGAAAATCTTATCTGGCTTAGGCTTATCTATAATGTTATTTAGAATAGTGTGTGAAATTTGAATAAGTAAGTGGTATGCCTAATTAGAGATTTATTAAAGGCCTAATTTGGGTGACGGTTCCAAGGATTGTCATAGCCAGGGGGTGATAATGGGGGACGAGCTCTCATGATCTATGAAAAGCTCCCGTACAGTATGCGTCTCAAATAGCCTCTGACAACCAAGTCCAACTCCTGGCCTACACGGGTGGCTTAATTAGTCTCTTAAGTCCGGCGGAACTGCTTTTACTGACGGAAGGGGCGCCTTAAAACCAGCTGCTCCGGTTAGATGGGACTCGTTACCCTGGGAAGGCAGGACATCTAGGGGAAGGAAAACCCTGATTCTAAACCTCCGCTGCCTTGCGGCCGTACCCTTCTTTTGGGAAAGGCTTCAGGAGTCAACCTCGAGGAAAAATCCGGAGTTGGAGCCCCTAAGGCAATTCGTTGTCGATTTCGGCCTCGCTCTGGCAGCTCCTGCGACGGTGCTGGAACCATGTGTATTGGCATTTGCCTTTCCATTGGATAATTTCAACAACGTGGAGAGGGAGCACTTGCTGCATGGGTAACAGCTTCTCCTCCATAGCGACCTACCCAGGCTTTGCGCCCTGGAGAGCAACCAGAGCGCAACTCCATAGTCTCCAGAGACTGAAGGATGTCTACTACTACTACATTTAGGTGACATTCAGTATGCAAATTTAACATTTCTATATGGAAATGGGAGATAGAGAAATAAATAATGATAGCTACCATAATTAAATATAACAGGAACAAAGGCTAATGTTTTAATTTGAACATTTTGAATTAGGTTGCATGTTTCTTGTGATTTTGCAAAGGGTTCACTAGACATTTAAACACACTAGTGTCTAGTGTGTTTAATAGGTAATATAATATATGCAAATCATGATAGAACTATGTACATGTGTTTTGGAGCAAATAGGATTGAGGCAGAGATTGAAACAGCTAGGCTTATGCTTATATGCAAACCAGGTGTCAAGTAATTATAAAATAATTATCAAAATGCAAAAGTAATTAGTCCAATTAAAGAAAGCGTTAGATAATGAGTGAAGTGAGGGTTACAGCGGTGTTAGCATGTAATTAACGGTAGACATTACAGGAAGACCGGCATACAGTATTTTCCCCGAGTGACTTCAGGAGGCGGTGTTGCCAATTTGCCCAATACAGTACAAGGGACAGATGTGTAACCTTAGTTTTCAGCTATCACACATTATGTAAAGAATTTTTGTGATAGAAATACTTCCTATACACGTAGGGGGATGATTTGTTACTAGACAGAGGTAATGCGATAGGTTATGTTTAATTGTTAACTTAGTTGCACTTGGGAATTAACGATAGTTTGGCAGCATGAGGAAAGCCAGCTGAACCGCACCTCCCTCTGCCAGATATTTAAACTCTCAGTGGAGCACTGGATATCATGCAGGCAGGAACTGTTTGCTCGCTCAGCTATTTGTACACCTAAGTATACTTTTAATCTCAATTAGTTAATGCAGTGTTGTAGATCAGGAAATTTATGAAGTGTTCTATAGGTATAATCACTAGGATGTTATTATGCTTAGTGTTTAACGTTACGTGTGGTGGTAGGCAGGAGTGGTGCCCCTGTAGTGCAGTGGTATACACAGGCCAAGACGCTAATGGACCTACTGGTGTAATAAACTTAGTTAAGAATGCCCAATCTTTCCTGCAGATTGGAACTGGGAATTTATCTAGTACAGTGTGGCATGACCCCATATTTTACCAGTATTCTGTAAAATTCTTGTTTATAAAATTTACTGTTAAGTTTGACAGTATTATATATTCCTTCAATATCCTTGACACAGGCAGTCAGCTAATAATTTAAGTCAGCCATAACCTGGATTGGGGGCTGTTGTCTCAAGGTGACCTGTAATGCTCCTTAATAGCTATTAAGTACTTAACGAGAGTGTCTTGGCCAATATTGTATAAATTTATATAATAAATTGGCCAATATTGTATAAATTTAAATTCTCCCAGAAATCAATTTCCACACAAGTTGGGGGGGTTTATTAATTATAGCCTATCAATCGAAAATTATAGATTGGTACGAAAATTTATACTAAATGGTTAATAGGTTATTCTACCAGGTAG